TTGGCCCTTTCTCGCCAAAAAAGGAACCAAGAAAACAAATTCCCCCATTTTGCCCTTCTTGGCCCAAAAAACTTCAGGCCAACGGTGGTACACATTTTGCCCTTCCTGGACAAAAAAAACATATGAAAAAGGCCCCCCACATTTGGTTCTTCTTGGACAAAAAAGAAAGGGAAAAAGGGGGCACACACCGGCTTCCCCTTTTGGGACACTTTAAAACCGGCCCCCTTGGTTTCCTTCGCGGACGGAAGCGGCGGCGGCGGCACCCTTCCTTTTGGGGGAAGCGGCCCCCCCCCGGTTCCCAGGAACTTTTTGTTTCACCTTCCCCCGTTTAGGTTGGTTCGGGGGCCCCCCCCCCTTCCGTTTTTTCGCGGAAGCCCCGCTGCTGCTGCTGCTGCTGCTGCTGCTGCTGTTGCTCCCCCGGGGGGCGTTGTTCCTGGGCCCCCCCCCCCCGCGGCCAGCCGCGGCCCCCCCCCTAGCCCCGCTAGCGGCCCCGCCTGCGGCTGCTCTGGCCGAGCCGGAGAGCCCCTTTCCACGCCCGGATAGCCCCTTGCCCCTACCAGCAAGCCCCTTGCCTCGCGCTCCTACTCCGTTGGCGGAGGAAGGTGGGTTCGCTGCTGGCGCTGGTGGTGGTGGTGGTGGTGGTGCACCGCTGCTGCCGCTGCTGCCGCTGCCGCTGCCGCTGCCGCTGCCGCTGCCGTTGCCGCTGTTGGCCCCTCTCGCGTCCGCTCTTCCTCTCCCCCCCGCTGCTGACGACGATGACCCGCTCGCGGCAGGGGCCCCGCCGATTGAGCCTCCCCCTCCCGCCCTTCCTAGCTGCGACCGCACGAACCCGCCGCCTCTCGCGGAGCCTCTGGGCGAGGAGGAAGAGGAAGAGGACGACGACTTGTTGGTGAGCAGGTAGCCGCCCCCTTTCCCCTTTACCTTCGTTTTCTGGACTCCCTTCGGCTTCGCTGTGACCACGGTGGGGAGGGGATGGATCCGTGGGAGAGAGACAGAGAGAGACAGACAGAGACAGAGAGAGAGAGAGAGAGAGAGAGAGAGAGAGAGGAAAGACGGGAGCGGCAACCAACGCGCACGGCATACCAAAAAAGCAAGAAAGAAAAGTGTCATAAAAATTTCATGAGTTGTTTGTTGTTGCCCGGTCTGAAAAATGGAAAAGCAAGCAAGAAGAAGAGCGCTAAACTCTTTGTCATAGAGCTCTTCTCGAGTCTTTTGTTGCCCGATCTGACACGAAGAAAAACAAGCAAGAGGAAGAGCGCCATAACGTCGTTCGTTGGTTGGCCCCGGTTCGGGACCGTCGCGCTTGACAAATGCGCGCGTTACGTTGTATTCGGTATTGCCGTAGGAGTCGGAGAGATGGCACCCCCGTGTTCGCATTTTTTAATAGCGTATTTCTCCACAACCAGGGGGGTACCGCTGCCGAAAAGGGCAGTTTTGGAAACATCCCGTCGAGGGCTTTCCTGAGAGGTATCGGTTGGTGTTGGCACCCTCCTAGTTGTGGAGAAATACGCTACAAAAAAAACGCTGACACGGGGGTGCCATCTCTCCGACTCTTACGGTAGCTGCAATGAGCGTCGCTCTTCGGTGATGACACTAACGCAGCAACCGGCGAGCCTCCGCTGCGTGCTTGTTGCTTGTGTTTTTCCATGCGCACTCCTCAAACGAGCGCACCGAGCACAACTCCCCTTTGGATGAAAAACTGCTGTACCCTTTTTCTCTCCTCGGCGATCCTTGAACCACCCGGCCCCCTCCCTCAAGCATTATCTCGCCCCTCCTACTTCTACAGGGCTCCCTAGCAGGTCAGGCGAGATAAAACACACACACAAAAACACTCACCCTTCTCCTTCCTCCCCTTCTTGGACACGCACACACAAAGAAGTCACTCCCCTGCGGATGTATGGTCCTCCTCTTTCCAACACGACCTGTGAACCACTCGCCCCCCTCCCTCAAACACGAACCTCGCGCATTGTCTTCCCTCTCCTTCTTTCACAGGGCTTCCAAGAGGACGGGCGAGCACAACACACACACACACACACTTTTCCCTTGCCCTTCCTTCCCTCCCTGGACACACCCAAAGACACCCAAAAAACGCCCTACATTGCCTGTCCCCAATCCTTCTAGCTTTGCCCTCTCACCTTCCTCAAACACCTCGGATCGAAAATAAACGATTTTCGCTGACCTCCCTTACCCTCCTTCCCCAACCCCTCGGATCGAAACAAAACATGTTTGTTGACCCCTCCCCCCGCCCATCGTTGTCTTGAAAACTGGATTTTCGCCGACCTACCTTCTCTCCCGCCGCCCGCCCCGTGCATGGCGGAGCTCGATGAGGACCCCCCCGCGCCTTTCGTTGACCCTCCACCGCGCCCCCTGCTCGAGGCCGACCCGCTCTTCGCGGCGACCTTCGCTAGGAGAGACTTGCCGCCCTTCGGTGCCTTGTACTTTACATCCATCTTTGTAAACATAATGCGGGATTGTTCGTTGACAAGGGGAGATAACGGGGGTTGTTGTTGTTTGTGGAACGATCTCAGGAATGGTTCTGCCACGGGGGTTCGACTCGCTCTGCATCAGAATGCATATCCCGTGGATGTCTCTCAGTAGTGTCGGCAGGCACATAACGGCACTAGTGAGGGACGTATCTCTATGTGGGTCTAGATGCCCAGCACTATCATGTCACTCCACGGCCAGAAATTCATGTGGCCGAACCATGGGCAGGCGACAAGCTCACGTCGCCGTCTTGAAGACAATTTTGCGTGTCGCCGTCTTGAAGGGAAGCACACCCTCCATACGGAGTTGTTTCGGGTGTGCATGTTCGGCTTAATGTTTGAGTGGACCCAAGGACAAAATAAATAAAGAAAAACAGCTTCCAAAAACGCACTTTTTCGGGAGACGCAACACTCCTCGTCAACAAATTGCACGAGCGACAAAAAAATCGCGGCACCTCTGGAAGCGGACATCAAATAGACTAGTCGGCGCTTGCTAGTCTTGAAATTCTAATGGCTTTGGTTTCGGCTTCAATTTAAATTTAGTACGGGCCCGAGCTAACCGACGCTCGTACTCCGAGGGCGGTAACTGCCCGCCCTTGCCAGCGCTTCCCAGACAAACTTTTGTAGAAGCCGACATAGATTTTGGGATCAGCAACTGACACGAGTTTAATGTGAAGGCAACAAGCACAAGAACAACGACATCAGACCAGTCAGCGCTGGCTTGTCTAATGGCTTGATTTCGGCTTCGATCGCCACCAAGAGCACCTCTTCGCCGTTTCTTACCGGCACCGCGTTCTCGATCTTGTGGACGTCGTACACGAGACGCTGGTAGCGATGCCTTACATCCTCGTGGCTCTTCCCCGGAAGCAGCGAGGCCACCTTCAGCCACCTCAACGAATCCTGCGGGCGTCCGTGGCAAGCAAGCGGGATCACAAACAAATGAGGGACGACGATGGTATCGAACTTTGAAAACCGTGGTCCAAGCGGAAAAAGAAAGAGGACAAATAAGGCCTCGTTCTATCTGATGCTGTTTAACGTTGTTGTTGTATACTGCGGCTGGAGTTGTCCTATCTGAAAGTTGATCTTGTTGGTTGCTATCCGCCACCGCCGCCGCCGCCGCTGCTGCTGCTGCTGCTGCTGTTTCTACTGCTGGAGTTTGCGTTGTATCTAATGCTGTCGTCCTATCTGTTGGTGGTTGTTTGTTGTTGCTGTTTACTTGTACTGCCCGAATCAGCATTCGTCGTCGTCGGCATGCCGCCGTTAAACCATCGTCCTCACTCCATGCAAGCGTGCAAGGGCGCTCTCTTCTTACCGTCTCCTCGAACTCGGCCATGGCGTGCTCGAACACCATGTCCTGCTCGAAAGTCCAATCGTCGCGCTTGATCTTGCTTCCGAGAACACGTGCATCGGGCTCCATCTACACCACAAGAAAAAAAAACAAAAAAACAGCGCGGACACTTAAGTTGAGGCAGGCGATTGTGATACAGTAGTAGCCCAATTTCGCCAAGGCGGTCCAGTAGCCTGCGCAGGGGGCGTACTCCTATGTTTTGCCTGCCTTAGCGGTTAGACCATTGCCCACGCGTCCTCGAGAGGACGTAGCATTGTTCCCACAGAACCGATCGCCGATATCCAATCGTTCCTTCCTACTTTGCCAAAGGTGGCCCAAAAATGTCTTCCCTAGTCCATCTATCCTCCCGATGTCACTTCCCGCCTTTTCAACCCACTTCCTATGCCCCAGCACGCAGGGGGTCGCCATTAAGTAAACATGTTGGATAAAGCATTCAATCCGGGAAGTTGGGTTAGGGTTAGGGATTAAGGGTCTACGGTCTGCGTCCCCCCCTGTTCTATTTTGTCATAAACATATTAATCTCGCGAAGGCGGTCAATGTGATTTGCACAGGTATTGGAAAGAGGGCATTGCTCGGATACCGAGAAAAACGAACACACAGCTAAGCGGGGGTGTATCTATATCATCCTACGATGTCACCGCCGCCCATATTTCTCCCAGCCCCGTGTCACTGATGAGAATTCTTGGGTACCCCCGTTCGCTGGTCGAGCACGCGTACGCGTGTGGTGGTTGAAACGGCACCATTCCCAGTAGCAGCAGCCACCGGCGCAGCAATAACAACAGCAGCAGTAGCCGCAGAGCACCAACAACATTGGCTTGCTACTTTCTGCAAAGCACAACAGCTGCACCATTACCGTCGCCAACAACAGCGACAGCAGCTTTCAAAAAGAAAAAACAGCAGGAGCACCAACACCAGCAATAGCAGCAGCAGCAGCAACAACAACAATGATAACAAACTCGCCTGCGTGACCATCTGCAGGTTGACGAAGTACTCGTGGGCGTGCATGCGGACCTCGTGCACGGTCCGTCCATTACCCACCGCCTGAGATGATGATCAGGAGAGCAACAAATGATTTCCAATTCAAGTAATATTTAATTTTTGAAAGGATGCTGTATACAGAGTAGTGCGGCATGAATCGCCAGGATGGCTGGTGGCCTTTTGAGGACGTCGCAAGGGGGCGGCTGGATATAGTCGTCAGAAAAACTTTTCCATTCCCAGAACCAAAACCAAGAAACCGACCACCACCAACATACCCCGTAGGTTGCATAAGATACCACCCCCGCTCGACCCGATTTTCAAGGCTCGATAACTCGGCAAGAAAAGCGGAAGCGGAGAAGTTGCCGAAATTGGAGCGTTGGAACCGTCTCGTCGACGGAGAAACCGAGCTTTGAAAATCGGTCCAGGGGGTGTGGTATCATACGTCATGTAACCTACGGCAGGCTTTCAGCTTCGGGCTGTGGCAGCAGTATCTATTCTTCCCACTTCTTGTGGTGCCAGCCTACTGCTGCTGTAACACACCTTAGTTTCTGTTATAATAGAGGCATTGGGCTACAGAGTAGTACACACAGCTGTATCGCGACAAGGGTCCAGTGTCCAGTGGCCGCCCCTTTCCACACACGCACACACACCAGAGATCATGACTTTCAGAAGCGCTTTCTGTTTTCAGCCGCGGTAAGAGACTGGCGTCTTCTCAGGGGTCAATTTGGCACTTAGAAGCGCGGCCAATGCTACTGCTGTAATACAAGAAACGCCACAAAAGAACGTCAACACGACAGCAGTAGCAGGGCATCCCGCCGCCCGACAACGGCACCACTTGCTTACGCTTATCATACAACAGCAACAGCAGTAGTTGAACGCTTTCCATCATCATGCGTGATCAAAATCCGTCGTGTGCCTTTATTATTAGCATCGACTGCGCTAACCGGCTGACCAACGTCGTGTGCCTGTGAGCGTGGACATCAAAACGTGTTGCGGAATTGCTACTTCCGCGCCAAGTGTACCGCAATACAGCAGTACCGTATATGACACAAGATAACACACCCCCTTGGCCGATTTTCAAAGCTCGATTTCTCAACAGCAGGAATAGTCACAGCGCCGAAAACGGCGGCGTTGGAACCGTCTCGTCGAGAGCTGTTCGAAAACGTATTGTTTCATTTATGCATCCTCTTCGTCGTGGAGTAATCGAGCTTTGAAAATCGGTCCAGGGGGTGTGATATCTTGTGTCATATACGGTAGTCTACCTAGATGTGGTCGCTTCCTTTAGCTGGCGCTACAGCATACATGCGTCGAGATATGCATAGGCATCAGGGTTGCGGTTATTGCAGTGGATTGACTTCCTATGCCCATCGACAGCAGTCAGTTGAGACAGCACGTAAGGAACGGGCATGTTTGCTTAGCATGGTAGGTTACTGCTGTTGAATTTGCCGACTACAACTGTGGATGGACCTGCAGCAGCACCTGAGATATCTTGTCCCACTCGCTCCCGGTGTTCTCCTGACCGTACCGTTCCATGGCATCGAGGAACGCAGAGTGCTCCTCATGAGTGAAAGGCTTCTCAGGGACCAGCACATACACACACACACATACGAGGAGCGCATGGGAGAGGCGGCGGAACGTAGTTGTAAGAAGAGAGCAGCTGCATGCTGCAGGCGAGGGGGAACTTGGGCGAGCCCGCGCCTTGTACGCGAACGTCTGAAAAAAAAGGCGGGCACTGCATTTCGTAATTTTGACTTCGAGTGGGGCCCGGGTTGATAGCAGCGAACAGCACCGACATGGCCAGGGGAAGCCACACGAATCGGCCGCGCATTTGGGCTTCTAGTCCCCCGACAGCTGTTGCGCGTGAAAATGGTGTTTGTACGCAGCGGTCCGTCCAGCCTAATTAACCTCTCGCGGTGCCAACGCTGGCTGGCGGGGTCTTTGAGCAAAGTGTGCCCGCCAGGCCAAGCCCAAGCGGGTGGTGTTCTTGCACAAGCGACGACACGTGAACGCGACACGGATCCGCGAGGACAAGCCAAGGGTACCGCCTTGCTGCCGGGATACACAGGGCCGGACAAAAGACCACCGGATACCCCAATGCCCCCCGCCGCTCGAAACACAGCCTGCTGGAGCAGGCTTCGCTCCCTGGCGTTAGATTTGCTCCCTGGAAGCACGAACAGCATAACCTTGTCAGCATCACGCCCGCGAGGGATCGACTCACTCACCCTCAACGCCCAGCCCGTCCCTGGCTGCATCGGCGGCATGCCCGGGTGCCCGCCGTATCCCGGTGGCATCATCGTTTCTCTTTCGACTCCCGTCGGAATCTCCCTTATCTCTCGCCCCCGCCGGCTTCGCTGTTGATTTGAGCGTTTCACCTTTTTTGGTCGCGAAGGCACACACACGGCGCTATTTGTGAAGACCCCCGAAGGATCACGGGGCTGCTGTTGTGCGAGAGAAAACAATGCACGTGACAACGCTTTCTCCCTCCTTCTTGAGATCGGTGCCGATGCGGGCCGTATCACAGCAGTCGTTTCTCCAAGCGTTGTGGGCACGCGAGGGAAGAAAAAGCGATTGCTCACGTACGTACGTACTTTCGATGTTGACGATTGATTGTGTGACGGTTTCGGGCATTTTGAACCAAGAGGATCCCTATTAAAAACAAAGGTTCTGACTGGTGGTTCTGCCGCCGGCCGCCATCGGCCGATGAGCAGCAGCAGGAGAGCGGAGAGCAGGAGTACACTCGAGTACACGTCCGACCGGCCCGATCCGGTCAACAAGGGGCGTCTGACAGCACGGCATGATGTAGAGATTTTAGCGAGGACAGCGCTTGCGTGCAACATATCCATGGGCAACTGTATGCAACGCCGGCGACAAAGGAGGGTACAACATACGTACATACAGTACTGTAGATACTTGTTCTTGTGCAACTGCACGTAAATCGTGTCATTTTCCCTACCTGCCGCTCACCCCGGTCCTTAGAATACTTGGTCTTGTGCAACTGCACGTAAATCGTGTCATTTTCCCTACCTGCCGCTCACCCCGGTCCTTGGCATTGTCGCGATGTTGCTGTCGCTGCAGCAGCATCAATCAGCAGCAGCACCACCACCACCGAAATTTTCGTTTCCTCCGAACCAAAGCATCCCATTTTTTCTTTCTCGAGGAACTCGAGGGCTCGAGGGAGAGTGCTGCAAAAGCGGTCCGGGCCGTTGCGCGGGAGATGAGCCGTTGCGAACACCTTACTAGACTACAGTAGTAAAAGCAGCATATAGATACGATCTCGTTTCTCCGGCCTCGATTGTACTAAAGTTGTAGCACAATTTGAAAGTGGACGGTCGTTCTGCCGGTGTGAGCACCACCAGCTACACTACCGAAGGTTCTCCTGTTTGGACAACGTCGATGGATTTCCTCTTGAGTGCGGAAGCCAACCGAGAAGATATGATTTAGTGTACTGTAGAGGGGGGTACAAGACCTTACCTACCTACTCTGTGTACGCGTTGTGAGCTGACGGAGTAGACTACTGTGTTGGTCATTGCGTTTTGAGTATTACGGCAGAGACCCTCAATGCAAGATCTTACCGCGTTAGTACACGTGGTGGCGAGTTCTGTACCGCATCCTCCGTCGATCCTTTTCACAGCAAGCAAACATCGACCCAGGCCTCACATAGACGTCGCCGCCACCAGCACACTCTCGGACGCGAATATCGGAACTCGTTTCACAGCGAACGCGTTTTTTATTGTTCTTGTGTCTGCTCCTTGGCATCCAAAGATTGACGGCCATCCCCTACCCCGCCGTACGAAGGGACCGCAATACATCGCACAGGTTTTGTTGCCGGCATCCAGCGTGGTGTCGCCCATCACGTATGTTTCCATCCGCGTAGAGCTTGGGCGTCGGCGTTATCCTCGAAACGACGGCGAAAACCTATTGCTGCTGAAGACGCAGATGAGGTACTCCCGCCCCAATCATTTCCAAGGCCGGCGCGACTGCTGCTGCTGCCAAGATGCGCAAGAGGAGCCAACTTATTCTTTTGATCTCGACGCCTTGCTGGACCATCCGGGCGCCGCCAATGCGCTCCTTTCTGGGCAATCCGAGTGGCGTTCGCTGCGGCTGCAGCGTTGCTGCTGCTCACCACGTGTTTGTTGTTCCCAGGGATCGCGGCAGCGGAGGCAGGGTTTATTCCGTGAGCCCACAAAGCGGCGCGCATGCGGTCCATCTCGCGTTGCAAGCGAGACACCCGAGCTTCCGATTCTCTCCTCTCCGCCTGCGGAAACGAGCGGCGTTTTGCACGGAGGAGAGGGCAGCAACATCTCGACATAAGGACAAAGTTTGAGCGCGGATACAATCTTGAGTGAGAAAATTTCAAGGAGGTCCCCAAAGCAAGGGCGCGGGGTTTGAGACCCGCGCTCAAGGGGATTGGTGTAAGCACACATGTAGCAAAATCAGGCAACTCTCCCCCATGGTGGTTAGGTGAAATGGAATGGAGATATCAACATTGAGCCGCCTCGTTATTGACTCCAACACTACCAACCCTAGATTCGAAACCAAACACAACTCCCCCACCACCAGCCGTTGTTGGCGTCATCGATGCCCACCAGCTACTCAGACATGTCACTGCAATGTCGACGAACAGGTGTGTTGGAAGACGTTAGCGACGTCCGGTCTTTCGGAGGCAGACTCTAGCCGCAACTGCTGAACCTTTGAGATGACCATTTTATCTTTACTTTCCCGTGGCCCCAAAAGTTGCTTGGCCGGGGTGCCCCGTGCCTCCCTAGCTTAGAGGCACAGAGTACGGGTCGGCCCGCCTCTTGTATCCCTACACACCTCAGAGATACAGCGTGTAGGTTTAGGCAGCTTCTTGCCACGGCAATACCGACGACAGCCAATAAGACAGCAACAACGAGAGCCAGATGAGTGCTTACCTCGGCCGCGTGAAGTCGCCTCTTGAGCCGCACCATGCCCTCCTCCCGCTTGATCGTCTCCGCCAGAGTCTTGCGGAAGTTTACGTCCTCGACATCGCGCACTTCCCGTCCGGTCCGCACCTTTCAATGCCATCAATAGTTTCACAGCAGTGGTCAGGGTAAGCCGCCGTCATCGTCTTCTGTCTGTCGTGGACACATTCCCAGCCCTGTGAACAATAGCGTTTTTTTTAGGTTGAACGTACATCAACCACTTTGTCTGACGCTCCGTTACCATACCGTGGATCGAAGCGCTTCGCATTCTTTCTCCACAGCCGCGGTGACGTCCGCCTGCAGGTTGATTCGATTCGTGAGTCTCGAAACCTCGGACTGTAGGCTGTTGATTTCCTTCGCCGCTCCCTGGGGGTTGGGTTCGGCAGGGAAAAAAAATTGATAGGGGAAAGCAAAGTTCAAGAGTGGTAGGGGAAAGCGACGGAAAACGGTACACGGTTAAATGTGTTGCGCTTGAGGTAATGAGTTGGAATAAACGGCACTAGTGCTGTGAGCGCTGATTTGAAGTTAAGAACAAAAACAATGAACGTACTGCACCACGGTAAGCTTCTTCGCGATGGGTACAGTATCGCACGCGTACATTTGAGAAGAGCATGATGCATTGATTGTTCGACTGACCGGTGCATTGTGGTCAGCTTCGTTTCGAGTACCATGGTAGTGAGACGTTTAAGTGGACACGAGACTATGTTGAACGGTGCGCTTCTGGCGATCAACTAAGCAGGGTGCTCGACAGTCACCAACAACGCGAGGTTGAGTCCAAACTCAAAACAGGACAAATCAGCAACGATAAAAGCATGAAGATGAAGCCCTGTCAATTGGCCTTATTTCGTCAATAGCAACGACAACGATACTCGTTTTCAGAATGGAGCGTCGTTATTGGTGCTCAAGCGCGCAGACCAACTGCACCTTTACAGCCAATAGTGTGTGTCGGGCTGTGTCACCTGGGTTACGAGCATCTCCTTCATGCGCAGCTGCTTCTGAGAGTGAAGCGCCTCCGTAGTGTCCAACAGGCGCCGCTCCGCCGTCTCGAGTTCTGACTGCTTATCTCTCAACTCGTTCTTCAGCCTTTTCTCGTTCTCGGACAACCTGTTTCAAGTGTGGGGCGGTAGTAGGGAGGCGGCCGCGGGGATGTGAAGACGAAACCATCGCGTCTAAAGTGTTCGTTCAACGGAAGCGATGGTTCCTCCGTTCCGTTCGCTGCAGATCTCCCAAAACGTAGACGGCATTCTTAGCATTTGCCTGAATTTGAAGATTTGTCGCACACGTATGTTCCGTCGGCACAAAACACCTCAAGCCATATTCGTTTGTTTGATCCATGCATACACGTTGCATCACGGGTCGTGTGTTCCCGGTCGAAACTCCCAACTTGAAGGGTGGCGTTGGTCGAATGGGGCTTTCCGAAGTTTCGACACACCTTCCCGACGTTCTTGGTGTATTGCTTTGTTCCAAGAAATGTCATCTGCACTCAACTTCAAAGCCCTTGGCCGCCCCATACTTATGAACCGATTCGTCAGGGGAAAAGGCTTGCAGTGATACAGCATCAAGGGTAAACTTGGAAGAATGCGACAGCGACAACGGCGTCAAAATCAACAAGAGCATGTAGCAGCAGCAGCAGCAACAGCCACGAAAACAACAGCGACAAGAACTGCTTCACAGGATGTTCCACTATAATACCTGTCGAACTCCCGGCTGGAGGCGAGACGCTCCCCTTGTAGCTCCTTGCGGACCTCGGCTGAAAAAGCCAGCTCTTGCTTCAACCTGGAGCAAAGCCACTCCACAAGGTCCTGGCCCCCGAAGAAAGTGCCGTCGTCGATTTTCACCTTGCGGGGGAAAGAGTGTTGCGTCGCGCAGGAGGGTGTAAAGAGGGTTGTTGCTGTCTATCATCGTTCATCAAGAGGTTCCGCAACTTTATCTGGTTGTTAGGGCCGCTGTTTTGTTTCGGTTTAGTCCGTGGAACCAGGCTGAACTTCGACGTTCTCTACTATTGCCTTCCCTCACTTCGTGTTACTCACGGCTCTTACTTTCCACGATTTTTCGCTCCAGAGAGATTCGAACCTACAGCCTAGAGAATCAGCGGGCTACGAGGATTCCAACTTTCAGCTACCAGGGCGACAGGTACTGTAGGTGTGCTCTGCGTCCGAGTTTCGAGCACCTTGAAAACATCGATCACTTCTATCTCGGACAGGGCTTTCCTCATCCCTGCGGTGTTCTCTGCCTCAAGCGGCGAAGATGTGGAAACAGACACCCTCTCCGCCGACGTATCCCCTGTGGAAGCAGGCAGCGAATCACGGAGAGAGATCGTTGGCTAACGTGTTTTTGTTTCATTCCTTGCTGCTGCTGTTTTACACATACACACGTATCGCCTTGTTGAACGAGGAGATGCTACGTTATTGTCTTTGGGTGGGGCACACCGTAGGCAGAGACAAGCTCCCGCAGACAGGTTTATTTAGTGTTCTGGAAAATCCGAAAACACAACGAAACAATCTTCGACGTGAAGTTTTTGTGCTCTGACGATGCTTTGACATCATCAAGCACCGCTCTACATCACTCTGGATTCCTGCTGGAGACGTACGTTGAACCCTGCTGGTGTAGGACCGACTTGAACAGTACCTTGACCCAATGCTCTAGTCTATTGCATTGAGGATACTAAGCCCATCTTATTGTCACTGCACATTTGCCACATCATGCACGCCTATAACATTAACGACGACGAAGTACATGTAGTGGTCTGGTGGGTACCCTCGCAGCCTACTTAGGGCCAGGTCATGGGTTCGAGTCCCGGCAAAGTGAGTTTTCTCTCACTAAATAAATCCTGGTCTAGTCTATGTTGGAAGCGACGCGCTGCGAAGCTCGTTGTTAGTAAACTCAATCGACTTCATAAGTCGCGAGGGAAGGGATTGCTGTACCCTTCTCGCGATAAAAATATCTCAGGCAGGAACCGCAGGAGGGGGTCCAACCCCCCCCTCCTATGTGACCCCGGTTGGGTCGTCTAGCTAGTAGAAGTGGAGGATAGGGGCCAGAGGGGCAGACGATAGAGTCCAATGATGGGAGAAAAAAAAAAAATGTGGTCTGCTGAGACGGTCGTGTACAATCCGACTCAGAGGGTGCGATCTTGTCTACATGTACGGTTTACATGTGAGGAGCAACGAGGTTGAACCACCCACCGTGATAGACCAAAAGTAAGCTTTTGTACATTTTGGCTGAACATTCATTGCCTCCTCCATTCTTCATGGTGCGTGTGCAAGTCGGACGTGGGCAGTGAGCAGTAGGCAGGCTCCATCCAGAGCATCAAAAACACACAGATGCGGCGCATCCGGTGTCGTTTCGGGCACCGTTCTTGGCTCGAGCTTCGTCTTCCGATACCCCCCACCACACCCTTGCCTCTGAGAAGGGGCGCCTGGGCACAAGCATCAGGAAGGCGGAGAGCTCGACAACAGCTTATCATGAAACGGGGGCAGATGGGAGAGGCTGAAAAGCATGCCATCCGTCGCAAGATTGAAGAGAAACAAGTCTTGATTCGCGAACAACGCAAGGTACTCACTGCTAATCGCTCGCATGGTGCGAATCATGATATGCATACATCCCTCCAGTAGGCTGGAGTTACACTCGAGCTCGAGAGGAGATGCGTCTCTCTTTCGATGAGGGATTCGTGAGTGGTACTTGTTCCAATCGTGTCCTCCCCGGAACTCGATCTTCGTTGAAAGCCCCCCATGTAGGTTAGTTCCCTCGCGCTTGGAGTGAAGTGTCTGCCACAAGGTCGCAGACATTGAGCGCATCAGAGCAACAGGGCCGCATAGAATTTTGACTCTGTTGAGCTTTCTGGAAACGTGCTGAGCTGCACCGGGTCTGTGTAGATGTGCAGCGGTCGCGTCTAGATGTTCCACCGGTAATTGAGTTGCAGCAGTAATCACTCTCCTTTGCTGAGAGTCAGCACAATTTTTTTGTGTGACAACCCGTCACCGTCTGGGTGCACATGAAGCCATACATAGCATGGTACTGTTGTATCCTCTTCCTGCCTTTCATCCCACCTCACCAACGAGCTCTTGTGCGTTTATCCAGTACCATCATGCCACTCGAGGGTGCTCTCTGTACGCTACAGTACTGTGTACTACCCATTTGGCGCGTCTTTTGAGTTGTGTTGGATACTGCGCTCCACCCAATACCCTCAGTTTCTCTGCTTCTCGTTGGTGCGCTAGCTTGGAGATGGCCACACCTCTTACTTGCTAGGAACTACCGTAAGAGTCGGAGAGATGGCACCCCCGTGTTATCGTGTTTGTATAGCGTATTTCTCCACAACCAGGGGGGTACCACTGCCAAAAAGAGTAGTTTTGGAAACATCTCGTCGAAGGCTTTCCTGAGAGGTATTGGTTGGTGTTCGCACCCTCCGAGTCGTGGAGAAATACGCTACAAAAAAACGCTAACACGGGGGTGCCATCTCTCCGACTCTTACGGTATCTATCCAACACGTGTTCGAAAGAAAGCGCGCAAGAAATTCAAATATCTTAGGCAGACCTACCGGAATTCACGGTTCGTAAGCTTTGCTCCATGATCGACTACATTATTCTAAATGTTGTATTTCGAGCGGTCCGATCACTTTCATTTTTGACGAATAGGTGCGCGAACGGTTGAGCCGAGAGTGTGCGGATACCATGTTTCACATCGCCTCGACGGAGTCTACCATCAAGAGTATGACCACTGAACACGAGGTAAGTGTGTGTGACGATTTTCCCTCTGCAGCTTTTGATGCTGCTACTGCCCCTGCTGCCAAACTAGTTGCTGCTATCGTGTTGAAAGCTGCACTTCGCACGAACCATCGCAAGGTTCTAAGCACAATCACTCAATCATAACTGGCGCATAGTACGCGCGAAACGCTCATGGTTGGTGTACAAAAAGTCGTTGGTTTAGGCGAGGGTCAATCCGTGGGAAAACCACCCAAAGTTCCTGCTGGGTTCCCCTGCATCTTGTCCGATTCCAGGTGGTGGTGGTTTCGCTCGTCACCCAGCCGTTTTCCGGGAGACATCGCACGCGATTGCCTGTGTAGTTGCTGACTCTCTTCCATGTACAGGCTACGAATGCACGCACGCTGGCATAGTTTTTCTGCCAAAGACGAGGTGCACTCACCTGTTCCACGCAGAAAAAATAACGTCCTCCTCTCGTGCATTGTTGTTCCCCTCTCCCCTTCCACACACACACCCGTAAAAAGGAACTCCTGAAGAACAGGGAGGAAGACTTCATGTACGCGACGGCTCCGGAAAGGCGCGAGGTTCACCAGTACGAGGAGAAGTGTGCGGACCTGCAGCGAATCTTGATGTCCTCGGACGTAGTCGGTGCGCCGCTGTTGTCGCAGTACTTGCCGGTGTGCCGCACGTTATACACGAAAACAAGCCATAATTTTTCCTATTCTGCCTCCCGTACGATGCATCCGAGGTTCCAAACCACCAGAAGAGATAATCACCACTCCAGACGGTCCTCTTTGGGCAACTTGCAGCAACGAGCGGTACCATAGGGGAGGACCAAGTGTCAGATATCGGGCATGTTCCTTCAAACTTGCCGAACGCACGATCGACGTGATTACTATTCCGCACTCTGGTGTGCAACGCGTTGAAGCGTGTTCCAAACCTGTGTATAGTTTGGATCGAAACCACTTTCACCAGCCCACTCCCGACGAGTTCCTGGGTGCGTATCAGGTGAAGACGCTACGGACTTTACCGTGGGAACGTACTTGCGTGAGAGAGGCACGACCCCAACAAGTTTTTGAGCATGTTGTTTAACTGCATGCGTACGTGCACCACACTACGAAGAATGTGATACGAAACAGGCCCTGTCTTTGGGTGGTTCCCCGGAGACAGAAGAAGCCATCTTCTCACCAGCACGACGACTCCCTCGCAACGTATCGAAATATGGCACCCCCCCGGGGGGCGCTTGCTCGCGTCACGAGAGAGACACAAAAAAATTGCAAGCGTCCTCTTCCTGTTGAACCGCGGTTTTACACGCTCCGAATGTCTTGATGCCCATGTAGCGTTGACACTAACGGCAGATGACATTTCACGCCGCCGCACATCTCTATACCGCTGCGCATGCTTGTCCCGACTGTCGTCTCAGAGCGAGAGCAGAAGGTCCTCCAGGCAAGACTGGCGGCTCTCCGTGTGGACGACGAAAAGGAGGTGTGGACCACCCGTGCTTAACGATTCAATAAGGATTGCCCATTCTACAGTTTGGTTCATACAAATTGAGGGACTTCCCCTCGTCTTTACCCCCACTTGGAGGTTTGTTAGCCATCGATTTTACATCGCCCCCAACGTTTTCAATAGAAACCAGTTTCAAGTGCATCCTTCACTGGGATGTGCTCAATCCATGCCCAAGTGGTCTATATCTTACTCAACGTTGAAAGTTGTAAAAGGGTCTGTGTGAAAAGTGAAATGGCGTGCCTCGGTCCCCCATCTTCTCACATCCTTGAAATGGCGTCGTAAGGCAGCAGCGCCCCCCCCCCCCCCCCCCCCCCT